CAAAAAACAAGCTGTTCTTTTGTCAAGGCATCATCAACATTACTATGAAAGGAAGCCCTGAGTGTAATGAAGGCTTTAGAAGATTATAACATGGTGCTGGATATCCTCAGTCCCTTTCTGTCGAACTCTCCATTCAGCTTTAACACACTCTGACGAAGCATTAATCTCTGCAAGAACTTAGCTAAGGTTGGATCATATTCTGGCTGTAGCACAACTCAGTGTTATCTATACTCCTCAATGCATAGTGATATGCAAAATGAGACAGTTCAGCTGTCATACTTTATATTTAAAGAAATACTAGATTTCAAAGTGAAAACCATACAGCCTGCAGTTATAAAGGATAAAGGATTCAGTTATTTATAACATTGGCTTGACACTATGGCAAACATTACTGATGACTTTTTCTATTGAAGTGATGACACGTGATATTTATAAGTTAAAATACGAAGCTTTGTAAGTGACCTAGAGTACTACACAAAAGTCTTGATCTTTGTTTTACTTTGGACATTGGTTGCTTTTTCACTCATTTTCTTATAGCTGACTCACATTCAGACTAATTTTTTTCTTTGTTTGTTGCTTAGTACAGACCTATGAATCATTCAAACATAAAAAAGGCACCTAACTCAAGGGATGGACAAGTGTTGTATCAACAGATAATAAGCAACTTGGCAAAGAACCAATTTTAAATTGTATCATTAGTCACTTTCACGCTAGCAGCCTTTCGCAAACACATAATTTGTTCCCATTTTGTTAGTTTAATCTACAAAAAATAAATAAATAAATACCATGGACACCACAGTTTGACAGGCATAAAACTGTACTTCTGCTTCAACAACGTGATTCCCAAAGAGCTATTAGCCAAAAAACCTGGCATATCTCAGCATGGTGTGCAGTTTGTCATTATTAAATTTGAGGAAAGTTGACAAGTAGAGGACAAGTAGCGCATGTCTTTTATCTTAGCTCATTCCCATCACCCTCGAACAGTCACAGCCGATAACTGCCCCTCCTTGAGCCTGGTTCTACTGGAGATTTCTTTGTATTAAAAGGGAGGTTTTCCTTCCCACTGTCATCAAATTGCTTGCTTATAGGCAGGCAGTTGTCTGATTGTTGGGGTTTCTCTCTATTATTGTAGGATCTTTATCTTACAACATTAAGCACCCTGGGGTGACTATTGTTGTGATTTGGCACTACATAAAAAAATTGAATTGAATTTACTTGAACTGACAAAGGAAGAATTGTCAGGTCAAAAAACTATCCACAGCCAATAAACAGTGTCTGAAAGTCATGTATAATAGGGGGGGGGAAATCCAGCATGTACTGTTCACTGAAGCCTCAACAGAAATGGCCTCAGTTGAAGCATGGCTTTCAAGAAGCCATTCTTAAGGAAGGGAAACAGGGAGCAAAAGCTGCTGTTGCTTTTCATTAATGTAAAACAGTACATTAACTCATAACACACCAGGGAAAGTAATCTTTTACACTACTTGCTATATTTGTTATACGTTACTGCAGAAATTGACTTGACAGATTATATCATAACCAGTTAACACTATAAACCTGCAGCTACAGGTGATCACTCATCACGGTCTTTGTTATCTGTTGTGGTTTCAGGTTCTGGCTGCTGCACTGGGATAGGCATCACTCAAGTTTAACGTAATTCTGGGTTCTTGGCTGACTTTGTTTTGGCACGCTGTCTTTGCTTGCCAAGAGGGATGTTTTGTTAGCAGAACAGTGCAATTGTTTCTGTCCTGGATGCAGTCTGAATTTCACCATCAAACTCTTGACCTTTCATGCAATCAAAATAAAAGTACTGTCCATATTGCCACTTCTTAAAAACTGTAGATCACTCCACCACTTTCCTCCACCCAGCACACAGACTGAAATAAGCTGATTGTAGCAAACCCACAGGATGAAAAATGTGCTTGATTTTTTTTCTTTCTATTGGCAGTGTGTCGATGACTGAAGAGACTTTGTAGTGCAAGTAACAACATGAACTGTAATGCAATTATTGAATTTAGCACAGTAACGAGTCAGTTTAGAAGGCAAAGCTGGGTTTTTCAAATTGGACTGAAAATCAACAGTTAACACCTATGGAGTTATACTAATCATCAGTCACCCTAATCATCAGTGTTATCATCAGTATGTGTGGAAGAGGTCAGGAGAAAGGTAGAAAAATGAGTGTCTATAACCTTTTGAAAAACCCAACAGAGGCTCTGTCGTGGTTTGGGGCTGCATTTCAGCCAGTGGTGTTGGGGATCTTGTCAAAATTGATGTAATTATGAACACATAAAAGTCCTGCCAGATTTTGATCCACCATACAATACCATCTGGAAAGCATCTAATTGACATTTCTTCTTCTTTTTTTTTTTTTTACCATGGCAGTGATCCAAAACACACTGCCAACAGAGTAGAAACATACCAGGATAGAAAAATAAACAACAGAAAACTACCAGTCATGGACTGGCCTCCCCAGAGCCTGGATATCAACATTACCGAAGCAGTTTGGGATCAAGGTTGTGACTAATATCAAATGAAAAGCTCTGTCCTTCAAGAAACCTGAAGAACTATTCCTGAAGACTACTTAAACACGTTACAAGAAAGGGTTTTTATTAGCTTTAGAAAAGCTGAAAGAAGCTTTTTTTTGTTTGAAAAGCAAAGCCACAGCATCCAGTGGTCAAATTAGACACAAAAAACATGAATCAGCAATATAACTGAATAGAGATGTTACTGAATGAAACAAAACTGTTTCATTAGTCACATACATAAACCCGTGAACCAATGAAACATAATGTTGGTTTCCACCACAGGAACTAACGGGCTTTTTAGGCCACCATAACCTTTTGTGCCTAGTCAAACTGCCTCTGCAGTACCTTGCAGAGGAGAAAAAGTACCTATTCCACAGTAAGTTCTTCTCATCAGCCACAAAAAACTGCTGAGCATGGACTCATTGCTTACTGGCTGAATTTGGACAGGAATGTAGGAAGAATGGAGAAAAGGAGTCTGTTCAAGTAAGTTAACTTTCACCTTCACCAAGTTCCTGCAATGTAAGGTAGCTATAAGTAGTGAGAAACCTAAAAGATTTAGCAGACAATGAAACAATTTGTTATAAAGCTTAAAATGATTATTGCAGTTTTATCATGACAAGGATATTGTTACTCCTGTACAATGAGTCTCCTAATGCCTAAGAGGTTTTGTGTTGTGGCAAAAGCCAGTGCCTCTGTTTGTTTGTGTTTTCATTGTATTTTATTATTGCTGGGTTTCTCTGAGACAAATATCCAGGATAATCCCGGCAGCCAGGATGCTATGCTTTGAGGTCCTTTGACTGAGGAAAAAAGTGGATAGATATTGCCTGTAGAAAGTTGCTGTTAAAACTGGTGATCTTCACTGTGTCACCAACTTTTAATTAAATGTGATGGAACTGTACTGTTTGAACAAACAAATCTGAAGTTCCGCACAGTGCAGTGTTTCAACTGCTCAAAACAAGTTAGAGGGCAGAGCAGTGATATTTCTGGAAAACCACAATAGCATTTTCATTAGAGGTGAACATGTACTACAAATACTTTGTGACACACTGAAAAGGTTCCTGTGGCAAAGATTCCACTGTTGTACTTAACAGACCGCATGACACAAAATCTTAGGAGGCACAAAACAGGATGAACCCCAAAATCAAAAAGCAGAACTTGAGTTATTTTATCATTTCAGTCAGTATTAATTAAATATTGGTGTATAATAAATGACTATTAGCTGGATTAATGATGCTTATCATGTAACAAGCGAAAAACTGGAAAACATTGGTCCAGTTATTCTCTGAACTCAAATGTGATCATGTTGCCGCACCCCTAAGGCTAATAGAGATGATCTTTACTTGTGTATAGTTTACCCAAGGCTTCGCCACATATTGTACGTGCGTGTGTGTGTGTGTGTGTATAACCAAATTATTCCTGAGCACTTTGTCTTGCTAACACTGAGTGCTTCAGTAATTATGTCATGTAAGGGCAATCAGAGTTAATTAATTATGGTCAGATGAACTGCCTCTAGCAACCTTTCATACATGTGTGAAAGGTCAGTTTTCCTTGCAAGGCAGAAATGAAGTTGCTGACAAAGTGATTGATGTGTCTGTGAATGTTGATGCTTCAGACAAAATAATCTCAGTAAATTCTTACTCCAGCCAAAGAGAAACCTCTTCTACTGAAGGCTCAATTCTACAGCTTGTGAAAAGTGGAGATGCAAGGATTCTTTTAGCAACTTCAACATGTGAATGAGCATCCACCCCCATGTAACACAATGCATGCTCACAAAATAAATAACTGGAATAATATTGTGAATTAACAAGTTTTTTTTAAAGGCGTACAAGTGTTAAGTTGCAAAATATTTGCTCTTGCAATAACAAATTACTTGATTACAGACGCAGACAAAACACAATCAACTGAAAAGACTACATATACACTTACACACTTAAAGAAACATTAGGACTTTGTTTTGGTGAGAGCCCCATAGACAAAGAAGATAATTACCAGAGGCAAAACTTCCGCTCATTGCTGAAATAGATCACTTATTGTGTTTGGGGTGTTAGTGCCTTTTGGATTCATGCTGATAACTGACACATACAATGCCTTGCTCTGTAGCTAATTTTGACAGATCATCCAGGAAGTCTGTGGTCCAATTTTGCTAACTGTAATTCTAAAAATATAATTGCATGCGTTAGATGGGGACCAATAAGCAAGCATTTCTGTTTCTGCAATGGACCCATGCAGTTTATGGATGCACCTTGCTAACCATGCTTGCTAGCATAGGCTGATAACTTAGCACCTCAACCCCTCATCCCAGATGAGGTCAGTACAAGACATAGAAAACCCACATGATGTACCATAGCTATACCATATGGTATACTATTTATCTTAGTATAGTGGCATGGCAATTTTGCATGTGTCACAGTTTTCAGTAAAGGCATGCAAGTGCAACTGATCCACTAAACAAAGGTTAATATACATTTGCACACTCACCTGAATTGAAACATCACTGTAAGATCCTCCGATAACCCCTGAGATGGCCAGTGGAACCTCATTTTGAATTGGTCTCGAGCCGTCTGGGCAGATGAAACCTGGGTCGTGCACCTTAGTTAGGGATGCTCTTACAAAATCTAGCGACTGCTCCAGAGCATAAGTGTCTTTCGAGCAGGTGTCCAGGATGTGAGCCCCCAGCTGGAGACCAGGAAGGATGCGATCGCTGGAGTTAATCTCATCAAGTGCCAGCAGCATGGCTTCCAGTCTCTGGATCCCTCTCCCCTCGTTGATCTTACCACAGTCTTCCATTCCATCGCCTTTTTCGTGCACCGGGAACAGGCCTCCAATCACCAAGTCCCCATCGACGATGATCTCACGTTTGGTTGAAGGGGGCAGTCTGGAAATACTAGGCAGGACTCCTGGTATCAGCAGCTCGAGAAGGAACACATGGAGAGGCCAGTAATGTGCAGAATTGGCCTGCGACTTGGGGCAGAGCACTGCACTCAGCATGGCAGGACCAGGTAGCTTGATTTAGCAGGTTGAAGTGGAGAGCAGAAGAGGTTCACACAATTTGGAGGCAGATGTCTTTCAAGTCCTCTGTCAGTGAGTGCAGCATCTTTCCTTAAAAAAAGGGGGGGAAATTAATATATGTTATCTATCTATCTATCTATCTATCTATCTATCTATCTATCTATCTATCTATCTATCTATCTATCTATCTATCTATCTATCTATCTATCTATC